TTTTTGAACTGTTCTTTTGATTCTGATTTGTTGAAGTGGTGATGTGGTTTTAGTGTCAAGGCACGGCACTAGTCTGCTGGGCTGTCGTGCCCTGTGGCACGGCACGGCACTATCTGAGGACTTTAGTACCATGCCTGGGCCAGAGTCTGGGCACGGTGACACTACATGGCACGGCACGACAGTGACACCGTGCCTGATAGTGCCGTACCTGACAGTGCCGTGCCGTGTAGTGCTTGTGCCGTGTAGTGCCAGTGCTGCCCGTTTGGAAAACTAGCTTCGGCTGCTTCCTGGCGTACCCCATGCTCCACGAGAAGGGCTACCTGCCTCCGCGAGAGTCGCAGCTGTGCACGCCGGTGCCGGAGCTGCCGCCTCTCCGAGTGAAGGACCTCGTCTACTGGAAGCACGCCACCACGAGCTGGTCCGCAGAGTCCTCGCCCGGGCCAGCGAGACAGTGAGAGGTTGCTCCGGCCTCGTCATCAACACGTTCGAGGCACTGGAGGCGGCCGAGATCGGGAGGCTCCGCGACGAGCTCGCCGACCTCCCGGTGGTGCTCGCCGCCGGCCCTCTCCACAAGCTCTCCTCCTCCTCAAGGGGCGCCGGGAGCAGCCTGCATCGAGTGGCTGGACACCCAGCGCTCCGGGTCAGTGCTGTACGTGAGCTTGGCGGCCATGGACGCGAGCGAGTTCTTGGAGGTGGCCTGGGGTCTGGCAGAGAGCGGCCACCCCTTCCTCTGGGTCGTCCGACCCAACCAGGTACGAGGCTGCTGTGACGACGAGAGCGTGCGGCGGTCGCGGCTGCCAGATGGCATCGAGGACGCCGTCAGGGCGGGCAGAGGCGTGGTGGTCCGGTGGGCCCCGCAGCAGGATGCCGTTGACAAGTTGGTTGACTACATACTGTCTCTGTGAACCTTCTGCTCTAGTATGTCGTATGTATGTTCCGCGGGTTTAACATTGGCAGCTTAGCTGATGTTCTTATGGACAGTTCCTGTCAATTCTAGTGCTCGATAACTGTGGCTATTTGTTTTCTTTAAATAGCAGCTCTTGTTTTTTTTCCTTTTACTCCTTTTCTATATGTAAGAGCAACTCCAAGAGATCCCTTAAAAATTAACCAAGAAAGCTTATTATTGGAGGCTCTCTTAAATAATTTGTACCCTAAAATTAGTTTCGTCCACAACAGCTCCCTAATATTTTGCTCCCAATACTAAGAGATTGGATTAGTCAGATCTTGACCTTTTCCGTTAGCTAGTTCCTTTTTGTTGGTACGGTGACTCCAGGTCTCCAACCTTGCAATAGACGTACGTCGGCAGGCTGATCTCTAGATATGCTAGCGCCGCCATTAGCCTTGTGCTTGTCGCCCTCGCCTGTGGCCTTGCCTATTCTCTGCGCGTCAACGGACAGGGGCAGCCACATCTGCATGTCGACGGACAGAGGTGGCCGCATCTGGCCGTCGCCATGCGCCGCACACCCTGGATGGAACCGGCATCCTTGGTGCCTCCATCTTCAATCTTTTGGCACCTAGATGGAAGAAGATGGGAGGCCACTTCGATGGCAGGTGGAGCTACAAAGCGCGGCAAAGACTCAGCAAAATGGTGCGCACTGGAGAGGACGAGCGTGGGAGAAAGATCGGGGGCGCGCCATCTTTCTGCAGAAAAGCGGGGTGCTCGCTTGTTTTTCCATAGCGAGTAAATTTTGGGGGAAGGCTCGGGGGAGCTGTTGGACCGACGTTTTACTGCTTACCACGCAAATATCAGTTTTGTTATTAGTCTTCTCTTAGAGATGCTCTAAGCAAATTACTGTGTTCATAGTAGACAAAATTGTATCGTGTTGCAAACAATAGGAACTCAATTACTCAAATATAATCGTAGAAGGGTTGAACAACTATAGCCCTGCAGCAACCGACCGGTAGGTCTACTCCTCATCACAATTCACAGCCCGGAAGGTTGGTCTAGAGTGTATGTTTTAAGCCCAATAATTCCTTTTTTTTTTTTGCTTTTCTTTTCTTTTATCTATTTCCTTTTTATTTTTTATTTTCTATTCTAATTAATTGTTTTGATTTTTTATTACCATGCATAGTGTTTTTTTAATGTTCTATAGTTGTTCATCTAGTTTTATGTCTTTATTGTTCATGTAATTTCCATAGGATGTTCCGCAATTTATTTTCTTTTGTTCATATAGTACGCATGATATGTTCCATGATATATTCTGAGTTGTTCACGCAGTATTTATGGGATGTTTCATGATGTTTTTAAATTGTTCACACGTCAGGTATGGGATTTTCTATTTATTTTTCCATTCTTTTTATTTTTTATTTTTCCTCTATCACATGATCTTTCTAAAGAAATTAATTATCTTCATTTTTAATTTGTTTATTCTATTTATTTTTTATTTTTTTTCTTTATTATTTTTATTTCCATACATGGTGTATTTGCAATGTTTTTATAGTACCCATGAGATACTTCATATTGTATTTTAGCTTGCTCATACACTATCCATGTGATGGTCCATGATGTATTCAAATGTTCACACACTAGACACTCCCCATGAGATGTTCCATGGTATATTTTGTGTTGTTCATATAGTATCCATGATATTGAACAACTAAAGAACATGAAATTATTATTTGTGCTTTTGAATAATTATATGATCTTAAAACCAACTTCCACAAAAGCTAGTTTTTATGTTTTGATCAATCAAAATATTGTGAGAGAGATTACTCATAATTATTTGGTTTCAAAGTAATTTCGTACCATTTTTTATATCTTGGCATCCGGCCCACGACATATTAGGAAACTTGAAAATATGGATTGTGATTCAAGAAAATTTTAAGAAGAGAATAGCAGTGTGGGAAGGAAAACATTTATGTGTTGGTGTTAGGTTAGTGCTAATGAACTCAACTTTGTCTAGTATACTTATGTTCATGCCCTTCTTCTTTGAGAGTCCTACAGAAGTAGTCCTAAAAATTTGAAGTATTTGAGATCGAGATTTTTCTGGCAATATGAACAACATAAAAAGAAAGTATAGATTAATGAGCTGAAACATTATTTGCCAACCAAAAGACCTGCATGGTAGCTTAGGAGTGCATAATCTAGACACTCAAACTAAATGCTAGTTAAGTTAAATGTTGTTTAAATTGAACAATGAAGGTGGTGTGTGGCAACGTCTGCTCTGTAAGAGATATCTTAGGAACCAAACCTTGAGTGCAACACACACACAAAATAGGTCATTCATATTTCTGGATGGGGCTCGTTTGGGTAAAGGACATGTGGGAAAACTTCAGTTTGATGACGACAATTAAATTAGGTTTTGGGAAGATAAATATCTGATATCATCCATTAAAATATCAACGACACATCTATATATAATATTCTTCGTAGGAAACAAGCAATGATTTGCTAATGTCCTAAGTACAATGACATTTAATATTCTTTTAGGAGAGCATTAGTTGGAAATATAATATTAGAATGACAACATTTTATTGCTAGACTAGTGAATATAAATTTCCAAGAGGTTAGAGATAAAGTTATCTATAGTTTAAGAAAACATGACGAATTCTCAGAAATCTATCTAAGTTACTCATCAATAACAATTTTTGGTTTACTAACAAAGAATTGGCATATGAAAATACCCGTAAATATTGAAATATCTATGTGGTACCTAAAAAAGGAGTTATCCTCACCAAGGACAATCTTAATAGATGAAACTGGAATGGAGTAAAACTTGCTGCTTACGTAGTCATGAACTCATGATGAAAACATGCAACACCTCTTTTTTATTGACATCATACTATTTTTTATACCTTAGCATGCTATTTTTTATACCTTGAAAATTGCACCTCCTAGAGACTTAAATGGTTTATTTCATACTTGGGTTACGCAAGGGGGCAGAATAGTAAAGTGGATTAAATATGATGATAAGGGCTATGCCAATTTGTTGAGCTCTATGGTCTTAAGAAAATGATATTGTTTTTGATGAATGCCAACCAAAAACATTTATGCGAATCTTACTTGGAGGAAATATTCGATCCGATTTCGGGTACCATTACAGCAACTTAAGGATCAAGACAAGTTGTTGATTCCTTCATGCTAACACTCGGATACAATAGCTATGTAGTTTTTTGCCTCCCATAGATGACCGTTTATTTTCAGAATGTGTATCTGACTTATCATTCCTGATCGTGTTTGTCACAATCATGCATGGTCGTGTTCGTGTTGTGTTGGAGGTAGCTAGCTTTAGCTGCAACGTTGTAATAATCCTGGACTAGTTTTCTTGGGAAGGTTGAAGCCGGAACGTTTTATATACTACTCCCTCCATCTCAAATTTCAAGTTTGACTAAAATTATAGAGAGAAACACAAAGATTGATAACATCAAATAGATATAATATGAAAATATAACTAATGAAGAATCTAACGATACTTACTTGGTATGATAAATATTATTATTTTGTTATATAAATTTGGTCAAATTTGAAAAACTTTGACTCTCCAAGATTCTTGAAATGACTTACAATTTGGAATGGAGGGAGTACTAAAAAAAATTGATTCAGTCTTTGCTTCCTCTTTGGTCATCTCTGTTTAGCTTAACTCAATTTGCAACCTCCGTCTGCAAGTCTATTTAGATTGGTCAAAAGCGCCTGAACTTAGGTGCATACATGCATCTATGAGGAGTTATCGTATCTGGGATCTAAATCCATGACCTTTTAAGCTCTGAAATTATATAAAATTTCACGATCTTCTTGGAAGATTCGTCAACCGTGTCCTTTGACCAGACCATTTATTTCATAACATATCCCTGTAAACGCTGTGAGAGCGCGCGCGCTCATCCCCGTAGGCGGCATTACGAAGTTTCCTCCAATCCAAGAAGTTCCGTAGGCAGCTTCCAACTGTTTCCATAGTATATAGCCACTTGAAGCAGAAGGCTGGAGAACAGAGATATCCAGGCATCCATCCATCATCCCAGTCCCAGCAAGGAACGTCGGAGCCAGCCGGCCGGCAACTCTAACAATGGCCGGAGGGGGCGATGGTCCAGCCCGCGGCGCTCGCGTCGTGCTGTGCCCACTGCCGTTCCAGGGCCACCTCAGCCCGATGCTGCACCTGGCCGAGGCCCTCCACGCGCGGGGGGTCGCCGTCACCGTCCTCCACACGGCGTTCAACGCGCCGGACCCCGCGCACCACCCGGCGGGGCTGGCCTTCGTCGCCGTGCCGGACGTCATCCCGGAGGCCGTGGCCGCGACGAACAACGGCATCGCCAAGATCCTCGCCCTCAACGCCGCCATGGAGGCGTCGGGGCACGTCCGCGACGCGCTCGCGTCGCTCCTCGCGGAGGAGAGGGAACCGCGGCTGGCGTGCCTCATCTTCGACTCCACCCTCTCCGCCGCGCAGAACGCCGCGGCTGGCCTCGGGCTGCCCACGCTCGTGCTGCAGACCGGCAGCGCCGCCTGCTTCCGTCTGTTCAGGTCCGACACCTACGACATGCTCCACGACAGGGGCTATCTGCCAGCCACAGGTCCTTAACATGTCCCTAACAAATGCTGCCACTGATTTTAGAAATATCTACGCAGTGTTGTAATTAGGCACGAATTTGCCATGAATAAATCTTGATAGAGATTATTTGTTTCATTTCAGAGTCCAACCTACACATGCCCGTGGAGGAGCTGCCACCTCTACAAGTGAGGGACCTGTTTGACCCAAGCAAGCTCCCCAACAAAGAAATCGTGCACAAGATCTTGAGTCGTGCCACCGAGACCACAACAAACTCCTCCGGTGCAATACTCAACACATTTGAGGCTCTTGAGTCCCACGAGCTTGCGATGATCCGGGACGAACTTGCCCACAAAGGTATTCCACCCTTTGCCGTCGGTCCGCTTCACAAGCTCGTCACCTCTAACGATGGCGGCGCCGAGACTAGTCTACTCAACCAGGACCGCAGTTGCATCGAGTGGCTGGACACGCAGGCCCCTGGCTCCGTGCTATATGTGAGCTTTGGTAGTGTTGTTCATGTGACCCAAGACGAGTTTATGGAGATGGCTTGGGGCCTAGTGAATAGCAGCAAGCCATTTCTATGGGTGGTTCGGCGTGGCCTCGTGCTTGGAGTGGACAAACAGGAGCTCCCGGATGGGTTCATGTCGGCTGTGGAGGGTAGAGGCAAGGTGATCGAGTGGGCACCGCAACAAGAGGTGCTTGCTCACCCTGCGGTAGGAGGCTTCTGGACTCACAACGGATGGAACTCCACCTTGGAGAGTATCTATGAGGGGGTGCCTATGCTGTCGAGGCCAATCTTTGGAGATCAATTGCCAACCGGAAGGTACGTGCGCGACATATGGAGGATTGGAATTTTGTTGGAGGGTGTGCTAGAGCGAGGGGAGGTCGAGAAGGCCATCAAGAAGCTGATGGATGAAGACGAGGGAGTTGAAATCAGGAGAAGAGCAAAGGATCTGAAGGAGAAAGTGCGGATGTGCCTTGACAGCAGTGGGTCTTCTCAACAGGCCGTTGATAAGTTGGTGGACAACATACTTTCTCTTTGAATTTTTAATTACAACATTGTTACGTTCGCCCACGGTCTCTGCTGAATAAATTAACTACTGGTTTATGTTGCAGTGGCTTTTGTTAGCTCATGTTTCATAGCATCATGAATCTAGATTTTTGGCTTTCAGTTTTCACAATATTAGTTTACTAGTACAAAATTTTTGTATGAAACTCTTGTTCTCATTATACTTTTTATTACAACTCTCATTTTGTATTTTGTTAAAAAAAAGAATATATGTCCGAAGGACTCACTACGGGATCGGTGGCTTTGTCGAGTGCCAGGGGCACTCGGCAAAGAACACTTGGCAAATAAACCGTCGGCAAAGGCGTTTTTGCCGAGTATCTTTTGTCGGGCACTCGGCAAAGCCTTTGCCGAGTGCCGACACTCGGCAAAGTTGAAACCGAAAAAAACCCAAAAAAAATGAGAATTTTTGGCCCCCACCGGCTAGCGCCCACCCATCTCCGACATTTTTCGCGTGAATTTAATGGCTATGCGGCTGACGCGATTCGAACCCGAGACCTCCCGCTGTGCACGTACCTCCTCTACCACTACACCACACTCTCACTTGTGTCTGCATTCCGTTTTAATTCCCAATATATTATACTAAACCGAGTGTAAATTGTATGTTTGAGGCCCTAAACGAATTCAAATAAAAAAGTTATAAACTACAAAGTTTCATAACTTTTCGAGATCTACATTTTTAGTTGAGGAAGTTTTTCCATCCGAGGTCGTTTACAAAATTTGAATTTTAAAATTTTGAAATTCAAACACAGTTTTGCATGACAAGATGTTTTCAAATCAAAAAGTTGTCTACTACAATGTTTCATAACTTTTCGAGATCTACAGAGTTTATTTTGGTTGTTTTTTCATCCGAGGTCGTTTGAAAAGTTCGAATTTTAAAATTTTGGAATTCAAATGCAGTTTTGCATGACAAGATGTTTTCAAATCAAAAAGTTGCCAATTACAAAGTTTTATAACTTTTTGAGATCTACAAAGTTTATTTTGGTTGTTTGGTCATCTATTCATCCGACATGGTCGTTCTAACATTGTTCACAAATCTTATATATCTCTTTTGTAGTTTTAAACTACAAGAGAGATACGTTAGATTTGTGAACAAATTTATTTTCACTTTGTCGTATGAAGAAAAGACACAAACAAACATTGTACATCTCGATGGCCGGACAAAATTTATGTACTGTGTGCTTCTAGCAAACGACTCTTCTGTCGGTTGCGTCACATGGCCACATTTTGTGCATTGAGGCACACATATTCCGACAAATTCCATCTCTATCTGTTGACCTCTTATCGCAACAACCACGCTGCACGCTCTACCGGCCACAGCGCCCATGGCCGGACAAGACCATCAGCGCCGCCAGAGAATCGTGCTGTTCCCACTGCCGTTCCAGGGCCGCATCAGTCCTATGCTCCAGCTCGCGGCGCTGCTCCATGCGCGGGGCCTCGCCGTGACGGTCCTCCACACCGGCTTCAACGCCCCCGACCCCACGCGCCACCCGACCGAGTTCACCTTCGTCCCCATCCACGAGTCGTTCCCCGCCGAGGTCACCTCCCCCGTGCCGACATCGTCACGCAGCTCCTGGCCCGGAACGCCGCCTGCGAGGCGCCCTTCCGGGAGTCCCTCGCGCCGCTGCTGCTGCGCTGTGGTCAGGACCAGGACGTCGCGTGCGCGGTGGTCGACGGGCAGTGCTACTCCCCGCTGCGCACGGCGCACCAGCTGGGCGTCCCCGCGCTCGTGCTGCGGACGGACAGCGCCGCCACGTTCCGCAGCATGCTCGCGTACCCACGGCTGCGCGACGCCGGTTTCGTTCCCGTCAAAGGCAAGTGAAAGCAAGACCAAACTCGCACTGGATCGGATCGATCTTGGAACGCACATGTCACTCCTGATTCGCTACCTGCAGAGGAGAGGCTGGACGACCTGGTGCCGGACCTCGAGCCGCACCGAGCGCGAGACCTGATCCACGTCGACGGCAGCGACACGGACGTGCTGTGCGGCTTCATCGGCAGCGTCGCCGACGCCATGCGCGCCTCGGCGTCCGGCGTCGTCATCAACACGTTCGAGGGGATCGAGGCGTCGGAGCTGGCCAAGATCCAGCGCGAGCTATCCCGTCCGGCGTTCGCGGTCGGGCCTCTGCACTTGCTGTCCCAGGCATCGGTGGAGCAGAACCTGCACGCGCCGGACCGCGGCTGCCTGGCTTGGCTGGACGCGCACCCGCCGCGCTCCGTGCTGTACGTGAGCCGGGGCAGCGTGGCCTGCGTCGACCGCGGCGTCTTCGAGGAGATGGCGTGGGGGTTGGCCGGCAGCGGCGTGCCGTTCCTGTGGGTTGTCCGGCCGGGCATGGTCAGCGGCGGCGGCGAGGAGGTTCCACCATTGCCGGACGGGTTCAGCGAGGAGATCAGGAGCAGGGGCAAGATTGTCTCATGGGCGCCACAAAGAGAGGTCTTGGCGCACGCAGCCATTGGTGCTTTCTGGACGCACTGTGGATGGAACTCCACGTTGGAGAGCGTCTGCGAAGGCGATGCTTGTGCAGCCGTGCTTCGCGGACCAGATGGTGAATGCGAGATATGCCACGCATGAGTGGGGTGTTGGGATGGAGGTTGGGGAAGAGATTGAGAAGGGGAGGGTCGCCAAGGCGGTGACCAAACTGGTGGTTGGGGAAGATGCAGCTCAGGTGAGGGGGAGAGGGCTCACCGTCTGCAGAAACAGGCATCTGCTGCTACTAGTTTGTCCATAGCCAGTCTAGTCCATTACATATCGTCCCTGTGAAATGCAAAAATTTGTCATGCCAAATTGTCAAATACTAATGTGTTGCAAACTTGCAATCTGTCAGGAATATGAATATAACATTTAGGAAGTGCAAAATATCGACTCTGCAATTGACATTACCATAACAATGTGTCGAACTATGCTCCGCTCCCAATGCAAAGAAGCTTGTTCGAGGTTCCATTTTAGGTCTCCTTTGAAACAAATGATTTTTTTCTTATTTTTATGTACTTTCCTATGAAAATAAATGTCTATAAAATTCCTACACTGTGAAATTCCTACGATTTAGACAAGCCCTTAATTAATCTTTGCTAAAATGTCATGTTATTGGCTATCCCCTAAATACAAGGTTGGATCTAATGTATTCTCTTTTCATCCTCAAACCAAACAAATGGTAAAACTGTACTCCATCCGTCCTAAAATAGATGACGTTTTTTTTTAATATCATGTTTGACCATTTTTCTTATTTAGTTTCGTTATGCAAATAATAAAATAAATAAGTCATTATTAAAGTATCTCTAATGATAAAATAAGTCATAACAAAAATAAATAATATTTATACAAAAAATTTAAATAAGATGAACAATCAAACCAGATGTCTAGAAGTGAAAAATGTCATGTATTTTGAGACAGAGGAGTACATGTAACACCCTGTTTTTGTATATCAAGAATGTCGATGGTTGTTGATATCAAATGTGTGCAAATCATGTGTATTTGCAATTGATCCAGAGGAGAGAGGACAAATACAACAACACTTTTTCTCAAAACGAGTGCCTATTAACCAGCAAAAGTACCGGTCCTACTCTCTGTTGGTTTTTTTTAAGGACAGTCAATCTTCCTCTGCTGCACATAGCGAGCAAGGACAAGTCGCCACTCGCCAGGACTGCAACACCGGGTTTACACTAGAAGAATCCCTAAAAATAAGATCTAAGAGGAAAATAAGCCAAAAAACTAAATTTTCATCAATCAATAATTTAGCATCATTTGTCTAGTACTTCCTCCGTCCTAAATATCTATTGTTTTCGGTTCCCGAGTAACAACTTTAACTATATATATATATATATATATATATTAATATTTACGGTATATAATTAATATCATAAGATAAATATTTGAATCTAGTTTTTTAATAATTTTATTTGAAGATATAAATATTATACATATTTTCTATAAATTAAGTCAAACTTTCGGTAGGAAAACCAACCAGAACAGTTAATTAGAGACAAACGGAGTAGAGTACGAGCAGTGTACAACACACTTGTACAGCTCGCCTGCCTCCGCCATTGGCTGCACGCAACATCGTGAGACCGGTGGCCCCCATTATCACGCCGCCGGCATTGAAAACTGTGAGAGAATTGAACTGCACGAGTTTTCCATTAACAGTGATGAGGTACATATACATGTTGCCGAAGCACTGCCGACCATTCATACACAACTGCATCCTATACAAGTGGATCAGCCATGGACCAAAGGAGAGGCTATCTAGTGTTTGACTAAATCACCAAGAACTAGTCCTATCCTATCTATCTGGCCATTGAGGAGATGTGCGCTGACCCCCCCCCCAGTTGAAGCTTCGGAAGACCGTATGCATAAACTGTTTCTGAATTCTTCGAACAGCGGCGTTGGTAATCCTTTAGTCATGATGTCTGCAATTTGCTGGCGAGTAGGAATATGCAGGACCTTGAATTTCTCAAGCGCCACTTTCTCCCGAACAAAGTGGATGTCAAGTTCCACATGCTTGGTGCGCCGGTGATGAACTGGATTTTCGGACAGGTAGACAGCTGAAATGTTATCACAATAGATCACCGTGGCCTTGTCGACGATGACATAAAGCTCTTGGAGCAAGTTCCTGAGCCAGCAGCATTCCGCAGCGGCATTGGCCACTGCCCGATATTTTGCCTCGGCGCTTGACCGGGAGACGGTGGTATGGCGTTTTGAGGACCAAGAGACTAGCGACACACCGAGGAACACGCAGTATCCCGACGTCGATCGCCGAGTGTCCGGGCAGCCTGCCCAGTCTGCATTGGAATATGCCTTGAGCTCGGTGGATAGGGTTGCCAAGATCAAGATGTCGTGGTCGATGGAGCCGTGGAGGTAGCGAAGGATTCGCTTGACGAGATTCCAGTGAGCTTCATGTGGAGCTTGCATGTAGAGGCAAGCCTGATTCGCGCCCGTGATGCTACGGTAGAAGGTGCCATGAGTGGCTGGCCCATCAGTGCTCGCGGACAGTTTGGACTTGGTGTCCACTGGAGTAGCCGCAGGCTTGCAGTTGGCCATGCCTGCACGCTCCAAGATGTCTTCTGTGTACTGCTCTTGAGTGAGGAAGAAACCAGCATCAGTGCGGCGAACCTAGATGCCAAGGAAGAAGTTCAAGGCACCGAGATCCTTGATGGCAAACGCTTTGGCGCAGCTGCTCGACGACGTGCTGCAGCAAAGGTGTTATGGACGCCATGAGAATGATGTCATCAACATAGACGAGCAGGTATGCGGTGCGTGCGCCACGCTTGTAGACGAACAGTGAGCTGTCAGAGCCCGTCGGAGTGAAGCCCATGCCATGGAGATGCGCGCCAAAACGCTGGAACAACGCCCGTAGTGCCTACTTATGGCCATACAGGGACTTGATGAGCTGGCAGACGTGGTTGGGGTGGTCGGAGTCGACGAAGCCTGCTGGTTGATCACAAAAAACGCGTTCCGTCAGGTTGCCATGGAGGAAGGCGTTCTTGACGTCGAGTTGATTCACCGGCCAACGTCGAGTGGCGGCGAGGTGCAGCACTGTGCGGATGGTGGCGGGCTTGACCACCGGTGAAAAGGTTTGGTGGAAGTCGACCCCGGGTCGTTGGGAGAACCCGCGGACAACCCACCGGGCCTTACGCCGTTCGAGAGAGCCATCTGGATGGAGCTTGTTCTCGAAGAGCCACTTGTCGGTGATGACATTGGCATGTGGCGGTAGTGGAACGAGCGTCCATGTCCCATTCGCCTTTAGGGCATCGAACTCGTCTTGCATCGCGACGTGCCAGGCAGGGTCACGAAGAGCAGCACGGATAGACGGTGGTGGCGGCGTTGGAGAAGCCGCAGCCACGTGTGCGTATTTGGGGTTGGGCATGTGGATGCTGTCCCGAGCATGCGTGACCATGGGATGGCGCGGCTGCGACATGACCGTGCCGGGAACATCCGTGTCCAGCACCTCCGGCGCCTGTGGACAGACCGTGGGTGGCGAGGAGGACTGGGCGCCCATGGCAGCATGTGGCGAAGAAGCTGCTGCGGTGGATGCCTCGGGCGATGCAGCAGCATCGATTGGGGCAGGTGCCGAAGGCACCACTGGTAAGGCGATAGTTGGAGCCTGGGCGCGACGTCGAGGCTGGTGGACTCCAGTGGGAACTGGGAGCACCTCAGCGACGTATGGAGAATCTGGCTGCCCAGAAGTTGCCGGAGGTGTGGGGACCTGCGCAAATGGGAAGGCCGTCTTGTCGAAATAAACATGACAAGAGATTAGTACACGCTTAGTGACCAGATCATAACACTTATATCCTCGATGATCGAGCGGATAGACGAGGAAGATGCAGCGTGCCGAACGCGGTGCGAGCTTGTGAGGAGCTATAGCAGCGGTGTTGGGATAGCATAAGCACCCAAAAAACTCAGAGATGATCACAGTAACGGGGTTTTTTTAGGGGCGACTGGTATTGGAGCAGCCCCTACAGTGGCGTGCTCGGGCTCCAGCACAGCAGCCGCCCCTACAAATGGCATAATAGGGACGGCTGGTAATACGAGCCGCCCCTACAAATGCATCGATTTGTAGGAACGGCTGGTATGTAGAGGCGGCTATTATCAGCTGTAACACTCTAGGTGTTTGGCTTCTACTAATTGCATTTCATTTCATAAACATGTGCATCATCTATCTCATCATGCCTTTGTTACTGAAACATGCATATGCAACATTTTCCAATTGTGTATGTTTCATACTTGAGTGTTGTGAATAGTAATGGTGTAACATGTGAATGCAACCTGCGTTTCTCATACCTGGAAACATGGCAACATGGTAGTAATGTGACAAGTATAGAATAACAACAAAGTCATGCAACATGTGAAACATTGCATTGCAACATATGAGTGAATTGCTTGTTTTAGTTGCTTTATCACATGTGATCATTAAAAGTTGGTATAACAATTTCGTAAAGTGGTTGATTATGGTCTATTACACCTTAACTACACTTAGGTTACTTGTTGGGACATTGTTCATGTAGATCAAAATGACCAAAATGCCCTCAAGTGGAGGTTTGACTTGAATTGACCCTTGGAGTGTCCCTGTTTGACTGATTCAAAAGACCAACTTAGAAACTTTGCATGGCTGTACACTCTTTACAAAAGTTGTAGCTAATTTATTAAGGAACCAAAGTTGTTTTATGATCAACTCATGAAAATGTGTGGAACATGCTCAAACATGGCCCACAAGTTAGAATTTCATGCTGATTTCAACAATGAAAAATATTCTAAGTCATGACTGCAATTTCAGTGTGATTGAGCAATCTTTGGCTTGATGTAACTTCCGATCCATGGCGAATTAGGTCGTGGTCCTTGAAAAGAAATTGTAGATGGGCGGTACACCTACAAATTTCATGTACATAGTTTTTGCCACGGGTCATTGGTTTAGCCGTGTTGACACGAGGAATACTCGCTGTCAGTCGGATCAATCGAGGACTGAATTGCCATTTTCAGAAAACGGTCAGTGAGCACGGTGGCCGACCGGCTCAGGCGACGCTCGGCGCGTGGCGCGCAGGCTCTGCCGAAGGCTCCACGTAGCGCGCCCGAGCTCTAGA